TGCATTTAAAAAAAAAATATTAAATCTTATTTTTAGTCTCTTAATTTGAGGATTATATTGTCTTTCAATTTAAAAATTTAGAAACTAAATATATATATATAGATTTAATGAATTAACTATCAAAAAAATTAAAAAAATATTTTTTTATAGTTAAAAAGCAAAAAATTACATAAAAAAAAGAAATAAAAACTATACAAACCCAAAATTAAAGAACTAGAATTAGTATTTAATTTAATAAAAAAATTAAAATCTAAATCTAATTTATAAAATAATACTTAAAAATAAGTACAAGCACGTTGAGTGATGGTAGTGATTTACTTTTTGGTATTAATCTCTTAATACTCATTAACTATATTAAGTTTCGACTAATTTAGAATAAAATCGCACTAGATCCTATTAGAGAGGAAGCTCTCCTAATGTTTATTTTTCTATTCACAATATTCGAATTCAAAATTTTATTTAAGAAAAATCGAATCATTTCCGCTCAAACAAATAAGTGACTGGTAACGGTGGTGATTTACTTGGTTGTGTGTGCGTGAATTGAATGTGTGAACCATGCATTCAAACCTAACCCAACAAGATCAAGATGTTTCACTAAACAGTAGTTGGATTACCCAAAAAATCTGAGAGACCCATGTGTCCGAATAAGCCTGCATCATAAATGGCCCTCAAAAGTCCAAACCGCTGCCCCCAGGCCCAAATTTTCTGGACCACTAGGTAGGGGGACGCGTTGTCCTTTTTGTAACTAGGGTTTCCAAAGCAAAATTCTGCTCTACTTCCTTCAACCAAAGCACATCACCTGGCGGTGATAAAACCCCATCTCACCAACCAACCACGAACCGCCAACTCATCCCACAACACTCCACAACACAAACATCCCCAGTAAAATAACGCCACGTGGAAGAAAGAACCAATGAGAAACAAGTGAGTGGTTCTTACCTGACCCGCGGGTGAGACTATAATAAAGCAGAAAAAAAATTGAGCCTCGTGGTGCTATTTGAATCACCTCATTTGGATGGACGAAACCCTCTTTTTCTCTTTCCCTAAACCCAAACCCCAACTCTGCCCTCTTTGGCGGCTGCTTTTGTTTTCAGGAAAGAGTACTATCTCCGTCGGTCCCCCTCGTCTCTTCCTCTCTTCTTAGGGTTTTCTTGGGATTTTCAGGTTTTTAACATCGATCTAGATATGGCTGCCGCGGTTGCTACTCCAGCAGATCGTATCCTTACGCGATTCTCTCGTCTCGGTATTTGTTTTGATTTGGTGTTCTACGAGAGATCTGCTATTGTTTAGCTGCTTTTTATTTTTATTTTTTGGGGTTCTTCTGGATCTATCTGAATTCTGTATGTGGGGATTCGGGGTTTTCGATGTTGAGATTTTTGATGTGGAGATTTGGGGGATTTTGAATGATTTTGACATCTGTTTGTGGGTGTGGATGTCTTCTTGATTTGTTTGCCTGATTTGGTGAGATTGGTAGCGAGGTTTTTGACAATTCTCTTGTTTTGTTGCATTTTCAAAGTGTTCTTGATGATGTATGGATTGTATTTGGTGTTCGATGGTTGGTTCCATGTGTTTGGAATTTTTAGTACGTACTCTTTGTGTTTTGCTTTTGCTTAATGTTTTTTTGTAAGATATATGCTGGGATCCTTTACCATCCAAATTGAGATATTTGGTTTTCTTTTTTGGCCGCCTTTTTTCTGTTTTGTTTTTGATGAATTTTATTGGTTTAGTACATTTGATATGGATTGCTGAGACACATGAACTTGAATTTCCTTTACTCCTGCTTCCTTCAGAAACTGCAGAGTTGCTTCAGAAATTGTCCATAGATTCTCAAGCCAAGCCCCTGGAAATTCCTGAGCCCACCAAGAAGGTAACCCACTCCTATTTAATTTTGTTGGTGTGGAACAAAATGATTTTGATTATGGTTTTAGATGCCTAATATTAAAGTTAGTGGCCATGCATGAAGATGCTTGACTTATGAGTTGTTCCCCATATAATAACTAAGTCAGCCTTTATTAAAGTTACAAGATGCCCGCAGCAATGTGGTTTAATTATTAAAGTCCAGCTTTTGATACTGTTCAAGGGTTTCAGATGTTTGAGCCTTGTTAACAGAACTTAAGTTTTTGAAACGGAAAAGTCAGAAGGGTCATTCTAATGTTTGGTTGATCTTCTTTGCAGCCTTCTGTGTATCAGTATGGGTCTGTTGATCCAGGCAATGCTGCAAATGGCCAAATTCCGTCATTTGAGCGATCTGCAACACCGTTGCTGCAGGACTTTGTGGATCCAACAATGTGCTATCTTCCTAACGGTTATCCGTCTCCATTTTACTATGGAGGTAATTAAACTACTCCCATATTTTGAAACCCAAACGTTTCATATTTTCTTGTGTGGATTTAAGTTGTTTGTCCTGGGTGAACTCGCTTATTTGATTGTAATTTCTTTCAGGCTTTGATGCGTCTGCAAATGATTGGGATGAGTATCCAAGATACATGGGTCCAGATGGAGTAGACATCACTTCAGTAAGTCTTTTGTTTTATATCCTTTGTGAAAGTTTGATTTTTGTTTTCCTCAAACAACTATTTAGCAACTCATACAAATTATTTTGTAATTAATGCAGGGAGTGTATGGGGACAATGGATCTCTTATGTACCATCATGGTTATGGATATCCGCCATATGCACCATATTCACCAGCAGCCTCCCCGGTGCCTACGGTGGGAAATGATGGTCAACTGTATGGGCCACAGCATTACCAATATCCTCACTATTTCCAGCCTCTGACTCCCAGCAGTGGACCATTCACTCCAAGTCCAACTGCTCAATCCCAAGTGGACCTTTCCACTTCTGCAGCTGCTGATCAGAAGCCATTACCCGTGGAAACAGCCAATGCAAATTCCAACACTGTTGCAAATGGTGCGGGTGTGAAAGGAACTAATGGTTCAGCTCCACTAAAACCAGCAAATCAAAATTCATTTAATTCGAACAATTCTTATGGAAGGAGTGCTTTGCCAGGTTCTTTTCCTACCTCAGGATATCAGGATCCAAGGTATGGTTTTGATGTGTTTAGGTCTCCTGTCCCTTGGTTGGATGGGTCTATGTTTTCAGATGGGCAGCACAGGCCTGTAACCAGCAGTGGAATCAATTCAACTTTTTCAAAAACAAACAATGTTCCATCTTCAAGGAATCAGAATTACCGTTCCAATTCTCATTACATGGTACGAGAGATCAACATTCTCATTTCATTCATGTATCTTTTCTTCGTCAGATAACTGATAGAAGTAATTTAATTCCCAACTTGACTTAAACTTCTTCAACTTATTAGCATCCCTGAACAATTGGAATATTATTCTGATTTAGTTTCAATGAATCATCATTAAGTTGTATATCTCTAATATTATCTATCTTTTGATTTTAAGCAGGGACTGCCTCATCCTGCCCCAATGTCTGGCATGGGTACAGCTCATGGGTTTGTTAATAGAATGCACCCAAACAAGCTATATGGTCAGTACGGAAACTCATACAGATCTGGAATTGGCTATGGATCTAGTGGTTATGACTTGCGAACAAATGGACGTTGGTTGGGTGTTGATGGCAAGTATAAACCCAGGGGACGGGGCAACGGTTACTGTGTTTCAGGTAATGATAATGTGGATGGTTTGAATGAGTTGAATAGAGGGCCTAGAGCAAAGGGTCCCAAGAATCAAAAGGGTTCTGTCCCTGTCATATCAGCAGTCAAGGGCCAGAGTGGCACAACTGAAGTAACTAATGGTGAAGAGAAGGAAAAGGCACATGTGCTTCTGGACTTTGAACAGTACAACAAAGAAGAATTTCCTTTGGATTATACTGATGCTAAATTCTTTGTCATTAAGTCATATAGTGAAGATGATGTGCATAAGAGCATTAAGTATAATGTCTGGGCTAGCACACCAGGTGGCAACAAGAAGCTTGAGGCAGCTTACCAGGAGGCTCAGCAGAAATCTGGGGGCTGCCCTGTTTTTCTTTTCTTCTCAGTAAGCTTCTTGATGGAATTATTTATTTGGTCTTATACCTCATCCATTTCTGTTGTGTGCTTAATGGTTTCCTTTTTGTGTTTAATTCTTGTAGGTTAATACCAGTGGGCAATTTGTTGGGCTTGCTGAGATGATAGGGCCAGTTGATTTTCAGAAGAATGTTGAGTACTGGCAACAAGATAAGTGGACTGGCTGCTTCCCTGTGAGATGGCATATGGTAAAGGATGTTCCCAATAATTCTTTGAAGCACATTACCCTTGAGAACAATGAGAATAAACCTGTTACCAATAGCAGGGACACACAAGAGGTAATTGTAGTTTCTTTTGTTATCCCCACCAGCCACCATGTTCTTTTATTATTCCATTCTGAGTACCGTTTTGGGGTTCTGTTCAGGTCAAGCTGGAGCAGGGGCTTAAAATAATTAGAATTTTCAAAGAGCATTCCAGCAAAACTTGCATTTTGGATGATTTTGAGTTCTATGAGATCCGACAGAAGGCAATTCAGGAGAAAAAAGCCAAGCAGCAGCAACAGCAGATTCAAAAACAGGCAAGACTCTTTTTTTGCTTCCATTCTATTAAAACACAGCAAAGCTTGCAACTTTGCCTGCATATGAACTTGGTTGGATCTAGTTAAGTATTTTTTTTTTTGTTTTTAAATTATAAACTAAAATTGTTGTGTCCTTTTGGTGCTGCACAGGTGTGGGAAGGGAAACCGATTGATGAGAAGAAAGAAGTTATTGTGTTACAGAAATCATCGGAGGTTGCATCAGATTTGGTTAAGCAGCCTACTCCAATTGCTCAGTCTAATGGGGACCTAAAGCTTTCTGAGAATGGATCCCTGGCAAAGACTGCAGATGGCCCCAAGGGTTCTAAGCCAGCAGTAGTTTCTGAGAAAAAGGTTTTAGCGAATGGCATAGCTAATGGTTGCTAACTTCTACCATGACGGCGGTTTGTGGTCTTGTAGAATATGACATTGCGTTTCACTGTGTTAGAGATATAGAATGCAGAACCATAAGCCGCCGAACTGATCTGTCTTTGGTGCAATGTGAGCAAAGATAGATTATCAAGGTTTGCAGATTGGTGGTGACTGGTGAGACAGCTTAGCTTCTTCTGAGAGTCCAGGAGGCAGTTTACATTATCCTGGGGTTCCGCTCTCTTACTGAGTAGCTCCTGACAGACAGCAGGTTTCCATAGGAGTTTGGGTTTAGGGGTTTATGTTCAAGTGGCTTTTAAGGGTATTTGTTATTTGCTTTTAATCTTTTTTGATTAGTGGTTTTTTTTTTTTTTTTCCCTTTCATATCAACCCAGTTCTTCTTTTCCTTTTATTATTTTCCTGTTTTGGTAATTTCTAAGGTCTGACGCTTTGGTGCTAGCAACTTGGCTTTGCGTTATCTTTGCATTTCTTTTTTTTCTTTTTTCTTTTGTCTTCTACTGTCGTTTGTGATTTTGATATTTTTATCAATACAATATAAAATGGAATTTCTAGTTCCATCTACTAATGAATTAAGCATTTTTCTTTGTGAAACTCGGTACTTCATAACAAAGACGCATAAATAGTGAATATGTATGGTAACAAATTAAATGTAAAAATGAATCGGCGATGGTATATAGGTTTAATTTTACTTGTTTTATCGCTTTTTGGGACCTTTTTTAATATTAATTTTATATAAAATATTAATATAATTCATGAGTAATAATTAATTTTTTAATTAAATAAAATTACTTAAAATAGAAAAACTTGATTGTCATTTATACGGTAAAACTAATATCAAAAAGGGTAAAAAAATTGAAGTAGTGGTCCCAAACAATTAAGTCAAAGAAAGCGTTGATATTTCCTTTCACCCTCAGGTCGGTTCAGTTGGGGGGAAAACTTTACTTCTGTATGAGTTAATAATTATTTTTAGGAATTGATGGTTAATAGTTTGAATTATATATTAAAAGTGTATTTTATTTTATAAATTTATTAAAATATTTTGAATAAAATAATATAAAAAAATAATTTTATTAAAGGTATTTAAATAAA